GACTTCCCCTTTCAAAACACTCATTATGCCTGTAATTATTCATTCAGTATCTGCTTAGCTGACCTGATCATTCGATCCATGAGGCAGCGACCATAATCGTTTATGGGTTTACCCTTGTCATGTAACTCAGTGATAACACCAAGTGAAGTGGTGTGCAATGAATGAATGAACAAACAAACAAGTAACTCAAAAGACCACTCCCTAGTTTATCTCTATCTGTTTAGTGTTTTCTGTCTAGTTGCTCTTGGTCCCATCATTAAGAAAGGCAGGATTCCCATTTAAGAGAGAGAGGAGAAAATCTTTAACTTTGTGGCTGCATTATCAGGCAGCAATCAGTAACCATGGATGGCCTTAGAACTAAGATGTGCTCATGACATTTAAGTGTCAACATTGACATACACCCACTACTGGATGCTCCACCAGGCTGTTGCAGGTACCTGTAGGGAACAAAGACTTTTCTACATCTGTTTCTTTTTCTCTTTTTTTTTTTGGGGGGGCGTAATTTATATTTTAATTTAAAAATGTTTTTAAGTTCTTAATTTTTATTGAAGCATAGTCAGTTTACAATGCTAGTTTCAGGTGTACAGCAAAACAATTCGATTATACATATATTACATATATATTTCACATTTTTTCCATTGCAGCTCATTACGAAGTATTGAATATAATTCTCTGTGCTATACAGTAAGTAGGTCCTTGTTGTTTATCTACTCCGCATACAGTAATGTTTACATCCATTTCTACGTTGGAGAAGTGAAACCAACTGACCACTGTTTAACTGAAACCATTAACGTGAGGTACGACCGCTGAGCAGATGGTCAGAAACAGTATGTTGCAGGAGAGATCACGTGGCAGCCATCTCCTCAGACAAAGACAAGGAGGGTGGGGGTGTGGCCAAATAACTCAAATAATTTTGTGCTTTTATGTATATATGTTAGACTTCAACAGCAAGTACACAAATAAAAAAGGAAAAGAAAATTATCTTGACAAGTGGTTACCCAAATCAATAGTGACAATAAAAGGCAACATTTGTTTCGTGTTCAGCAAGGGCCAGATGCTCCGCTAAGCATGTGACATGCGTTTTCCTGTTTAATCCTGACAACAACCCTAAGAGGTATTTATCACTCATCATTCATTGCAAAACTATGTACTGGGCGCCTGCTTGTGCCAGGTGTCGCCCAGGCCCTGAAATGCAGCAGTAACAGGAGAAGCAGGTCCCCACACTCATGGAGCTGACACCCCAGTGGGCAGAGACCACTCTTAGCCCCAGCCTGTAATTTCAAAAACTGAGGTTCATTTGTGTAGATCTTGTGTCTAGGAACTGATCAGGCCAAGATTCAGTCCCAAATAGCTCTGACTCCAAAACTTCTCCCCATCCCACTGTGTGTTTTCTTTGCACTGATTACCCCAAAGGGTTGTGCAGACAGCCTTCTGCACCGGTTCAGGGGTTCTTCAGTACATTGTAAGATTCTCTATATTGATTGCTTTTTAAAGCAGAAAATGTTCTTGTACTGAAAAGTTCAGGGGAGGAGGGACGGAGGGGCTCCTACGTTGTCACGAGGACACTCCCAGCGTCAGCCTCCTTCTCCAGCAGGAGCTCTTCCATGGCAGTCTTGTGATAGGGAAGAACCTGTCCATACTAGATCTGTTCCTTGAGCTCTAACCCTGTGCTCTGTTTCCTGTGCTTAGTCATGCTGGTTCTGCACCTTTTGTAAATAATGTTGCCTACAGCCTGAAATACACAGGAGAGCCTATTCTCAAGGCTCTGACCTTTATGGGTATAACACTTTCCATTCATATAGGGATAAAAAGTTGCAGAATAGAAAATAACATTTGTCTTGTTGGAGGTTTGCAGGGACACCATGACCTGTCCTAAGTGGACAGCTGCAAGAAGAAAGGATTCTGACACCAAGAAGTTTGCAACAACCAGGCATACCCCCTCCCATTTTTAGTATAAAAGGAGCCTGAATTCTGACTTGGGGAAGGTGGTTCTCCAGAACATTAGTCTGCCAGCTTTCTGAATAAAGTTGTTATTCCTTGCCCCAACACCTGGTCTCCTGATTTATTGGCCTGTCATGTGGTGAGTAGAACGTGTTTGGACTCGGAAACAGTCCCAGGCTTGCAAGGATGACCCTTGTGACTGACCATCCTGAGAGGATCGGCGTACCTCTCTCACCTCTCTCGCAGGCTCTGGGAAATGGGAGAGCTCCCAGCTAGGCGCACGTGCCTTTCCCAGAACTGCTCCCAAGGCAAGGGTATGGTTATTCTTTTTATAATTGTATTTTTCTTTGAATATTGTATTTTTCTTTGAAACTGTATTTTTTCTTTGCAACTAGATCTGCGCTTTGGAAAAAATCACCTTGGTGGTGGTGACAATGAACTAGGGCAGAAGAACCTAGAGGTTGATGGAAGGCCACTGCGATTGTCCAGGTGAGACCAGTGAGGCTTGAAGGGCAGGAGCCATGGGCTAGAAAGGAGGGAAAAGATTTAAGAGCTATTTAGGCAGTAAAATGACCAGAATTAGGAGAGCAATTGGATACAACTCAGTGGGGGCAGATGGTGACAAGAGCTGTCAATGACCAGGGTTTGTAGCTTGGGTGTCATTTGCAGCTGCCTACTCTGAACTGCTGATCTGGGCTTGTGGAATGTGGGGGCTCTGCTCCTCTACTGAGTTGCTGCTATTCCCGA